GCCTTTAGATTGTGAAGTTTAATAGGCCACCACAATGTGGTGGTGTTGTACCACAGCGTGGTGGTGGCTGATGGAGAAAACCCTCAAGATAAAGGGTTGAGCCCTATTTAAGGATCTTTAACCCCCTCATAGCCTACCTAACATCGACCTCCATTCCCCCAAATCGTTCCTTGCAAACCCTAATCATCTTCCTTTATTTTGAGCTAGTTTGGTGCTTTGTGAAGTTGAAGAAGGAATAAGGTGGAGGAAGGAAGCAAAGATCAAGCAAGTAAGTCCCATTCTTCATCTTGGCACTCTTTTAGACCTTTGTAAGTATCCAGGAATCAATTTTTATCATTCAAAGTTGTTAGATCTTGATTTTTTTCTCTTTAGTTTCTTGTCCTTGAATGTTGGAATGGTTAGACCTCATAAAGTTTGCAGCGTTATGAATCTCCAGGTTAAGGTGATCTAGTAGTTTCTTGGATGTGGACTATAATCGAGTTTTGATGTCATGCATAGAGATTAGGGTATAAATCCTCATTGTGACCTAATATGGGTTCAATGCATGCATTGGGCATGAATGTCTATAAAGCACCAACCTTTGGGATGGTTTAGGTGTTTGAAGCACATCTGGAAAGGATGGACTTTGGACTTTAAGGATAAAGTGCTTATTGGTTAAGCCCTTGCATTACTAAGCTTTATGGTTTGGGTTTTGGACCTATTTGGGTAGTCCAAATGGATAAAGTTGGAAACTTTATCCTTCTAGATCACATTTTGGCCTAGATATGAGCTTTGGAGCTCTTGGAGTTGAAGAAATTAGTTGAATGTATTAAGCTGTTGAAACGCAGGAAACCATGTCATGGTTGCAAGTCAAAACGACGTGTTGGCTGGGGTTTTCCCGACTGATTGGATGCTCGCGGAGCATGGCGGGTTGGGTCAACATGGACTATTAACTTTGGATTTTGACTTTTGACTTTGACCAAGTTTGACTTAAGGGGTATTTGACGTATTTTGAGTTGGATCTAAGGATTGGTCATTGTTTGATGAATCAGTGACGGGTAAAGCTAATATTTAGAGTTGTGACCTATTCAACTACTGTTCAAATTCAGAGGTGAGATTTCCCTAACTGTACTTTTGGGTTGAAGGAACCAAGGCCGACCCAATGGATTCTTATCCTAGTTTATCACATGTTGGTATGTTGTAGTGATTTGTCAGATTTATATCCTGGTAGATAGGATGGTTCCATGGTTAGTGATCTGTAAGATCTGTATGATTATCTGTTGACTGGTTATATATATATATATATATATATATGCTTATCTGTTATGTATATATCGACATGGTGTATGTGTGGTCGGATTGAGGCAGACCAGTGTAGACTGAAGGCCAAGAGACCCAGGGTGTCCTGGATAGACTGCATGCCTGAGGGGTGTACCAGTCAGGCTGAAGGCCCGGGGAACATTCTGGATAGGTTAAAGGCCCGGTGAGGTGTACCAGTCATGCTAAAGGTCATATGAGCATACCTGATAGACTGTAGGCCAATGGGACATTCCAGTCAGGCTGAAGGCTCTGTATGCATTTTGTTTGTAATTATGCTTATGCTATGTGTTGGTATTTTGGGGGATCTCACTAAGCTTTGACTTATAGTTTTGGCTTATGTTTCAGGTACTTCAGATGATCGCAAGAAGGAGAAGGCATGACCATATACATCCTTATGTTTTGAATTATGATTTTGGGAGACTTTGATGTTGAACATGTTTTGAAAACTATGTTTGTAAACAATTTGTGAAATTAGTTCGTTTTAAAAAGTTTAATTTTATCATGATTTTTATAAGTGTTATAAGTTTTAATTAGAGCTTTGGTTTGAGTGAATTGGAGGAACACTCATGTAAATCCAGTTTCAAACTAAGGAAACGATTAAAAAAACGATTTTCAAGTTGTTTTTAAAATAATCAAAGAGGATGTGATGTATACGATCAGTTGGAGCCAGTAAGTAGACCTGAAATTACCACACTGTTATTGATTTTGTGATATGTTAAAACAACATGCTAGTGATAGGCTAGGGATCTTCAGGAATTGCATGATAGAATAGCCTGATTATATGATGTATGATAGCCTAGCGTTCTGCCTTATATGAAACTGGCTTCATTATCGCAGTTGCTTAGTGTATACATCATGGTTATACATAACTAAGATTTTATAGCCTTAGAATGTTTGGTTTGGCCTTATTTCCTGTTCTTGTTTGATGAAGTTCTTAGCGTAGGACCAGGTATTCAACTGTCTATAGGGTCTAGTGTTATGTATGATTAGCATACACAAGCACTGTTTTGAAAACCGGACCGGACCGGCCGGTTCAACTGATTGAACTGGGAACCGGCCAGGAATCCGGTTTAATTAGCCTAAAAAATCGGCTGCTTTGAGAACTGCGAAAAACCGCCGGTTTAGTCAAAAAGCGGTCAAAACCTTTGTGGTTCAACCGGTCAAAACCGGATTTATAATTTTAAATTGCTAAAAATCTTCATCCATCTCATGTAGAAACGCCAACTTAAGTCACTATGTGCCACATATGTTTGGCAGTGAGCCCATTTCCAATCTTACAGTGCAAGGCGTTTAAATAATAAAGGTGCACATCCATATTTTCTTCACTTGGTCGATGTGGGATTATAATGCTTTTCATTATTCCTCAAATATTTATTACTTCTACTCTTATACAACTTTTCTATCTCTTTTCAAATATTGAGTGAAACATTCTTAGACGAAACTAAAATGCAATATCACCGTTTAACTTCAACTCTATTTCATGTGGGCAAAATCTTATATATACACACACACACACACACACACACGTTTTTATCGGTTTTTAAGACCGGTCGGACCATTTGAACCATCAACCCAATAAGACGGCCGGTTCGATGTCCGGTCTAATTTTTAAAACATTATACACGAGTGCTGCAGGGTTTGTGGAAGTTTCATGGATGAGTTGTGTGGGGTCAGGCGACTAGTCTGGTGATGTTTAGCCTTCCTCTAGGGAGTGAGGATTGAGTGTATGCATCTTATAGTGTCTATTGTTAGGGTTGTTCTGATGATCCTTGAGATAAATACGGGTAGGTGTGGAAGGTAGTATGGGCCCATAGTACTGAAAGCACAGGATACGTATTTGAAACATCCCAAAAAAACAATCCAAAATTTTAATTTTTAATCATTAAGAAAACCATAGTTATCAAACATCATATAAAAATCATAAGTCGTATATCTCAAAATATTATAAACAACTTATCAAAACACTGTATCAAAGTCACATGTCCAAATATCAGAGTAAATTTTCCCAGGCTAAACGATGTGGTGTGTGCAATACAATCATCCCGAGCTCTTCCTTTTGCTACCGGAAGTACCTGAAACCAAATATGAAAACTGTAAGCACGAAGCTTAGTGAGTCTCCCCAAACTACCACATACCATACAAATAATCATGCTGCTTGGAGATACGGACCCCGCCTACACTCAAGGAGATACGTGCCCCGTCGACACGTCGCTAACTAAGTGATACAGGCCCCACCCACACTCTGCTGACTACGAGATACAAGCCCTACCCACACTCGGCTAACTACGAGATATGGGCGCCGCCCACACTCAGATAACTAGGAGATACGGGCCCCACCCACATCCGGCTGACTAAGAGATACGGGCCCTGCCTACACTTGGTTAACTAGGAGATATGGGCCCCGCTTACACTCGACTGAATACGAGATACGAGCCCTGCCTACACTCGGCTAACTAGAAGATACGGGCATCACCCACACTCTGCTGACTATGAGATGCACGCCCCGCCCACACTCGTCTATCTATGAGATACGGGCTCCACCCACACTCAGCCACTAAGCATACATACAAGTATCACATAGACAACAAGTATAATTAATTCTATCAATCAATCCTATATACATACTCGAATAATGCTATAAGATATGGTCCCCGACCACACTTAGCTAATGATGAGATATGGGCCCCGCCCACACTCACATTCCTAACAACACATACATGTATCACACAGACAACAAGTATAACAATCCAACAATCTGACCGGTATCTATACTCATGTAATAATGAGATAAAATCCCTGCCCACACTCCATGTTCCAATCAAGAACATATAAACTATATGGGCCGGCATTGGTGCCTTCGACCCGTTTAAACCAGGAGGAAACTCACCTCGCACTGCAGACGATCCCTGACTGTTGGCTGCTGGCTAACAGATTCCTAAACTGTCAACATCAAAAAAAAACCCAATTAACCATTTGGGTTTCAGTGCATCACCATAAATACACACTTAAGGTAAAAGACCATTTTACCCCTAACATAGCTTGGTCCAAGATCAAGGCCCAACTCATACTCTGAAGGCCCAAAAGCCAATTAATCAATTAAGGCCTAATTATGGCCAAATTATGGCCAAATTTTCCAAATTGGGCACAAACCCCTTACATGGGCCTTACCATAAGGCCCATCCACATATAATAGTCCATATACTTGTTCTCAATTGGCCCAACAAGAATCCAAACACTTAAGCCCAAAAGAAAGGCTGAACTTGAAGCCCAATCATAATTAGGGTTTTCACATAAAATAACGATTAAGGTTACGTGTTCTTACTTAACCCATTAAGGACTTAATCCATTAATTCCATCACTCTACTAGGCCTTTCATATAATGTAGTCAGACATAATTCAAAATTCCAGTCTAACAGTCCAAACGCGGGTCCCGACAAGTCCCAACAACAATTTCAAAGATTAGGGTTTTCTAAACCCTAATTAGGGTTTCCAACCCAAACAAAAGTCAATTAGTCCCTATAGTTATGTTTTTGGCTAATATAAGTTTCACTAGACTGGACACCACCCACTACCACCTCAGGTAGTGGAGGTCGACGGCGGCTCACAGCGACAACCACCACCTCACGATGGTGGTGGGGTTTTCATAGGTTTTTCTCTGGCCAAAACACCCAATCAACATCCCAATCATATAGGAAACACATTCATACAAATCTAATGACACACAAACAACCACCCATGCGGTGGCAGGGTGCAACAAGCGGTGGCAGCCACCACCTCACAATGGTGGCGGTGGGTTTTTCGGCCAAAAATGATACCTACAACCCCATGAATACATCAAACAAAATGTTCCTTCAAACACACACCCTTACACACACCCGCAACCATCTCCCAAGGTGGCTGGTGGTGGCAAGATACGGCAGAAAGCGGCAGAAAGAAGTAGAAGTGGCGGCAACCACCATGGTTGGCTGCCTTGGTGGTCCGCTAGCGTTCCGGCCAACAACACCCGCTATGTTACACTGTAATATACACATACATGGGCGGAAGCACTTACTAAGCTAATGTAATATATCTCCTTGGAGGTGGGCGACGACAGAGAAGCAACGAATGGATGGTAAATCCTCACCACAACAGCGGCGAGGCCACCAAACGACACTAACAAATGTGAGGTTATCGGCCGACGATGGCGGTGGTTTGGAAGATGGAGAGTAGGAGGGAAGAAACGTTGTGTACCAAGAATAACAACAACAGAAGAAATAACGTGTTTCCCATGGCGGTTCATCTTCATCGGCAGTTGTGCAACGACGGCTTCCGGTTTCTCGACGGAGGGGTGGCGACTGGATGACTTCCATCTTTGGTGGTGGATGGAAATAGAATTAGGGTTAGGTTGTTGGTTGCTTCCTTAAAATGCAGCCATGAGGAAGGGTGACGGGTTATGTCCCATCATTATACAACTATCACCAGTTATTCATATTCAGTCCCTTCTTTCTCAAATCCTTTTCAACTTAAATCCAAAACTTACCAAACAGCCACTGCCCTCAGAAATCTTTACAAACTTTATCCAGAAATTACCCTTTAGCCCTTGCTTCCCAGAATCCATTCACTACAAGTCCATTTAATACAATATAAACTCCAAATTCCTGCAATTATAATATTTAACTCCCGAAGCTAGCACCGATATATTATTATGGATTGAGAACTTCACTTAAATAATAATACGAAATATAGTTCACATCTCGGGGTTCATATATTTATTTTATCTAATCTAATTAATTCAAACAGAATGTTACAATTCTCCCCCACTTAAATTAGATTTCATCCTCGAAATCATCTCCTATCATTCCCGACACTCCAAAACAACTTGAACAACACGACCACAACCCCGAGCATACACCAACCTTCCCAAGGTAACGGAAATCAACTCTCGTAGGGCTCTACATCCCGCATATGAAGGAATCCTTTGCAACTTAATCACATCTACTCTGTCTGAATTATGTATTCTCAAGATGGTCTGACTCCCTAACAAACCTCCCATACTAAATCATGGTGAATTTTGGTTGAATCCAACCCACTTGTCTCCCAACTGGCTACTCTACTTCTGATAGCTTGAGGTTTTTACTAGAAAGCATAATCACAACCCAAATTTCCTGCAGTACACTTATACTTGATAGAAGGCCCAGATAATCCTTCGAGTAGAAGGCTCATCCCTGCAATGATTAGACTCAAATGAGAGCTGCACCATAGGACCAAATCATCTACTATGAGATTATACAAACTCATCTGCAAGTGACCTGAGATATCCTCTGAGTAACAAGCGACTCCACACTCGAGATCCGAATCAATAGTACTGCCTTGACTTATATTTATGTCCTTTACCAATAGAACCATTCCAAGTCACAACACAAGAGCATGATCTATCATCAGAACTGAATCCATTTATTACCCTGGAACTCTTCTATCGATGCCCTCGGTGAATAGCTACCTTGATCCTCAACCAACATAAATGAAAATCCTGCACAAAACAATCGCATTCTCGACTTGAGATCTTACCTAAGAATCTAACCTGATACTCAACTCGTGAATAGAGATCCGTAGATCTGCACTTGCATTTTACCCAAGACCTTCTGATAGCGCCAATCCTTGCTGGACTGAGTTATAAAGGCTCCCAAACCAATATTGAGACTACCAATCGCACACCTGGTCTAACCACTAGGTTCCCAAGAGTCCAAATAACAAAGCTATCTAGCTTATACACCCTTTTGGGTCACACACACTGACCACTCACTAAATCCTAAAATTCGGAATCCAATACATTGGCTCAACGGTCTCTACCAGGTCCCACCTGCGTTACTATAAACAAACGGGCCTTTCCCACGGGTCCCACCCATCTAGGGTTACATAGGCCCAACTCTACCTCGGACCCCAACAGTCCTCAACCCACAACGGAGAAATAGTCTGTGACAATCCTGACTGGCGTGCCTAAGGCACAAACTGATTCCCCCTTTACGCTCATATCCACTACCAATGATGGTCTACCTCAAACAGATGAATGCTACGATCCATCGCAATCTCACAACATTTCTAGCCAATCATGATTACCATCCCGGGTTTCATCACTAACCAACCATCTCAATCCCAATGTGTTGAATTGAATCCGTATAAGTCAAGAACAGGCAGCACGGCTCTACACGACTCCCGGTCGGGATCTATCCACAAGCCTGCTATGCATAACAAGAAAATGTCGACCAGCTGTCAAGAGTCTCTCTGAACTCTCACTTACAAAACCTCGAACTAAATAGTAACTTGTGTTGTCTCTATACCTGACCAGGATGCGAAACGTGTCCTAGTTCCACACCCGATCCAATTCCTGAAAATTCGGATCGATTCTCCTCTACTTGGATTTGGCGAAGCTCTTCCATCCTATAAGTCTAATGGATTCCCAACCCACCGAACCTCATATAATAGGAACTACCTGTAACCTATAATTACCAATCTAGTGTTCCATGACTAGCTAAATCTCAATGATTTCCCAACTACCAGAATCCGGGAGAATGCTCTTGAGACCTTAACCCATATGATGATCCAAGTCACCTATCATGGAACCATGCCATTTCCATGAGTTATTATGCCTGCAACTAACAAACGTAACCCTTGCCATGCACTGACGAATCTCTATTCTAATTTTTATCCTTAAGGAATCATTGAAATCTAATCGAATTCGGTCCATGCAAAAATACAATCCTCTTAACACATCCAATGATCAAACAGCTCACGTAACTGACACCATCATCTTCCTGCTGCTCTCCCTTCCCCAAAAATGATAGTGCCTTGAACTCTAAAGTTCTTCTATAGGAAACTGTCGGTCATACCCAACTGTTGATAGAATTACTGAATCCTGACTTCATTGGAGAACTATCACGCTAACCCTGGTCAAAGATCTCCCAAGTAACACCCCTGAATTGATCTTGCCAAGGACCATGATAGACAATGGAATACACTGGAACCTACTTGACAAAATACGACCCTCTAATGATTCATTGAATACTTCTGACATGCAGAATAGCATATCACACTTCTTGATAATATAATCCCGACAATAGCAGAAAATCCATCCAAGATGTTGCTTATCCAAATCCCAAGCCAAAATTGCCACACAGAACAAGTTCCTGATAACCGCCCAGAAGAAAACAAAAGATATCATATCTACAAAAGTATCAAAAGCAATCCCAACCTCTTCCCACCAATCACATGACCTGTCCTTCAGGAGGTAGGAAACAAGTCGGACCTTATCCCTCTCGGGATAAAGGCTGTTTCGAAAAGAGTTGGCGACAACTTCCAACCATCTGCTGCTAGCAATAGGGTCCTTATCCCCATGATAATCTGGGGCTCCACGAGCTCCAAAATCCCAAAACATCGACGTGCGCGTCCCTATCATGGTTGCCATTTGGGTGTGGAATGCACCCAACCTCTCATCACAGATCTCCAAAGTGCGTTCCTTGACCATACCAAAGTTCACATGAGTCTAGTCAATGATACTACACATAATCTTAGATGAGGTGAACTCCCTCATCTGACCATCAAGCTGCCCGACTCTAGAGTTTGAGCTTGATCCGTCACCAGCACTAGCACTACCATCTGGTCTACCACGTAGCATCACTATACTCGGAAATATACCATAACAACCATCAAAATACTCATCATAACTCGAGGGATCTCACACATTACAAGTTCCCTAGCTTCATATCAGCCGTCCTTGATTCGCGTACGGATCCTCTGCTTTCAGTAGTACAGGCCCATACTACCTTCCACATCTATCCGTACTTTCCTCAAGAACTGCCATGACTCCACCAAATCCCTTTCACTACTATTGCTGTCTACTAATCTCATCCTAGGCTTGCCCTAGGGTAACCTCTGCCCTACTCTCCAACATCAGCTGCATTAAAAGTCCCTACTATCCCTCCTAACTAGATCGCGGATACCATTACATATCACTAAGACCAGATAATTCTTCGAATGAGAGGTCTTACCCTACAATGGTTAGAGTCAAACGAGAGTTGCGAAATAGAGCTAAACCTAACCTTCTGAAATTATTTAGTCCTCATAATATGCAACTTAACATATTCATTTACTAGTTAGTTAAAGATAACTAGAAATCCTAAAATCACAAAGCAAGGAACATTCGAGAATTGAAATCAAACATAAAAAAGCACCAAGATCCTTATAGCTTGCGTGAAAGAGATCATCTTACTCAGCGCCTAGTCCACCCTAAAGCTCTCCAAATTGAAGGTCTCACCCGACTTCATCTTTCGGGATCCTAGAGTCTTAATGGTGATCTATCGAGGTTCTCTTTGAAGGAAGAGAATATGAGGTATTCTCCTTCTTGACCACAAGTTGGGCAGCGGACATGGCGGAGTCGATATCAACAAGGGTGAACCAAGCACTAGAGTGTGTAGCCTTGCATTCTAAACATAATAGAGGAACTCAATAAGTTTAGGATCATCCATGGAAAATAATAGATAGATAGACAAAGGATCTTTACATGTCGACATGGGGGCAGTAGCAGATGTAATCTCTTGAAAGCTAAGCTCTTTAAACCTGCAGGATCTTTTAGTCTCTGGCAAAGCAAGGAAACTCACAATATTCTCCTCGGTATCTTTATCAGTAAGGATGGGATCCTCGAACTTGAAAGCTACATCAAAAAAAAAAAAAACAAAAAACAAGGAAGTGTGAATTTTAGATCCTCAATAAAATAAAATAAAATCCTATCATTTCTAGCCCAATTCCTTGGCAGGAGATCACCTTCGGGGATGGATTCACATTTTACAAAGAAATATTCTCTTTCCAAGAACCATCATTTTGTTTCAATTTCAAAACAAGATGTGATCTATTTGTTTTGACTTTAAGTAGGAAACGAGAAGACCCAAAAGTTTGGAGATCATAAACATAGGCCAACACGTCTAATCCCGTGCATAGATTGATTGAATTGATCAACCTAAAATAGGATCCTCCATATTATAGGAACAGTTTGGCTGAAAGCAAACCCAAGTAGGAAAGATAAAGCTAGGTTTTTCCTTAGCATCAAAAGGCTTGAAAATGATGTCGTCAAGAGTTGATTTCAAGGACTCTATGTCGTTATCATCAAAAGAGCAAGTCCCCTCGTAAGACAAAATCTTTTGATCAAGTAGGTTCTCGTCGGAAAGAGTAAGGATGCTCGAGGAAGAACGAAGTGCCTTTTTTACCCATGATAATCAAACAAGAAAAATGAGAAGAAAGGAACATGAAATTTAACTTCAAGATTACTGATAACCCTTGAAAGAGAGCTAAAAGAAGTAACAGAAGATCGATAACCATT